AGAGTGCAGGCGCTGCCAACTGCACAGCTAGGCACTGGTGCAAAGTCACGTCCTCAACTCAAGCGAGCAAGAGGACGTTATGTGCCTCGAGCGACGTCGAAGGCCTCCTCCTGAAACACCGGGTGGTGGCTTGAAAAGCAGCCCCACTCCCCATATTGCTAGAGACAGATCTCAGACTCAGAACACAAAGGAAGCCCTCGTGCCCTAGAACACGGGCTGGCAGAAAGCAGAAAACCTTGCCAGCAGAGAGCACACAACGGCCCCCCAAACAAGCCTAGCATCATGACTCTGACTCTAGAGTGGGGGTCTGCAAAAAGTCAGGCCACACGGAGCCCACTGCCCACCTTGGCACAGCCCTTGTGATTTTCGAATTTCAGTGCTCATAAGTACGTACCAGCACACTGCCTGTAGCCCCGTGTTCTCAGGCTCTGTCCTCAGTGAAGGGTGAATTTTACATTTTTAAATGGTTGGGGTAAAGCTTCTAAGGTATATTCAGTGACACATTTTGACATGAAATATATTACTGACACATTGGGTCAAAACTCAGAGACTATGCAAATTAAGAAAAACTATGAGCTATAGTGAATAATATCACATAAACATTGGCTAATTAATTGTAACAAATGCATCACACTAATGCAAGATTTTTTTTTTTTTTTTTTTTTGAGACAGGGTCTTGCTCTGTCACCCAGGCTGGAGTGCAGTGGCTCACAGCTCACTGCAGCCTTGACCTCCTGGGCTCAAGCAACCTTTCTACCTCAGCCTTCTGAGCGGCTGGGATTACAGGCACGCACTGCCACGCCCTACTAATTTTTTATTACTAGGATAAAAGGATCACTTGAGCTCGGGTCTTGAACTCCCAGGCTCAAGTGAGCCTCTTGTCTCAGCCTCCCAAACTGCTGGGATTATAGACATAAGCTGCCTCACCCAGCTAATGAAAGATCTTACTAATGAGGCTGGGTGTGGTGGCTGACACCTGTAATCCCAGCACTTTGGGAGGCCAAGGAGGGCTGATTGCGAGGTCAGGAGTTCGAGACCAGCTTGGTCAACATCGTGAAACCCTGTCTTTACTAAAAATACAAAAATTAGCTGGGCGCGGTGGTGGGTGCCTGTAATCCCAGCTACTCAGGAGGCTGCGGCTGCAGTGAGCCGAGATCACACCCCTGCACTCTAGCCTGGGCAACAGAGCAAGACTCTGTCTCAAAAGAAAAAAAAAATCATACTAATGAGAGACACTACACCTGAGTAGAGATGTGTGGGCCTATGAAACTACTACTACTAAATCTAAAGCTGTGCTAAAAATCTGTTAATTATAGAGAAAAAACACCTTGGATATACCCTCAGCTATTTACTCAGAATAAAATTATTTTGCCAAAATAGAGGATTTAATAACACACACAAATTATGATCTTCGAATTATATTGTCTATAAGTAACTACTGGCATTGTCCCATCCACTCTTTCACACATTTATGACTGCTTTCCTGCTACAGAGACTGTGGAGCTCATAAAGCCACAAAGATATTCACCATCTGATCCTTTACACAAAGTTTGCTGACCCCCGGGCTACCACCTCCCTTGACCCTGGTGACCATCAGGTTCAGCTCTGCCATGCTAGGGCCTTGAATGTAGGGGAAGCCCACGCCTCACCCGCAAAGCAGAGCCCACTTACCCTGGGTGTTGGCAGGTCCAGCACTCCATGCCCCATAGCCTGCAAGAAGACCCCGTGAGTTAAGATTCTATTTGTCACACCAGAGAACCAGTCCTTTTAGGGGTACTCCTAAAGGGATCTCCTTACAGTTCAGTGTCAGCCTTACAAGAAGGAATACCCCCCCAACACACAAAAAAGCCACCCCACAGCTGGCTAACGGCATCATCGCATCCCACTCGGCTGAGATCAAAGCAGAAAAAGAAGGGTGGGAAGTGGGCTTGGAAGTCAGCTCCGCCTGCAGAGGGACCTTGGCCAAGTACCTCACCCCTCCAAGAGTCCATCCACAACTGAGGCTAACACAAGACAATCCACTCAGCATGAGGACACATTCCCCTACTCACCACACAGTCAGGAAACCAGTTCCGACTACTATCACAAGTACCCCGTCACTGAGAACAAGCATGGGAATTTGGTGACATAAAACTGCATCGCTCTAAGCCGCACTTCCTATCACTTTTAAGCCCTCCACGGATCCCGTGGACCTTTAAGTCCCAGGGCCTTGGCCTGGCCCAAAGGCATCAGACTGCAGTCTTCGACCCTCCAACACCCCCGCCCACTATGGGATCTGTCTGGTCCCTCCAGGAAGGAGGATGGGAACTGTGTTCTCTTCATTTCTGTGTCCCTGGGGCCCAGCACTGAGCTGCGCGCGGGTGGCCACCATGCCTGTTAAATGACTTCACTTTGATGAGGCAGGAACATACTCATGTCTCCCTCACCAGAACAAGCCCCGCCGCTAAGTGCCTAGTGTGTACCGATACACTGCAAGTACCCAGCAAACCCTGTTGTCCCGAAGGCCATTCAGAGACAAGGGAGCTAGGCTCATGGGTTACGAGACTTGACCCAGTCATAACCGCTGAGTTTTGCCCTCTGCTATGCTACGCCTTCCCCTCCGTCATACCGCAAAGCCTTCTAAATTTGCATCCGTGCAACAGAAAGGCAGACTGCAGATTCTAACAGCAAGTAACCAACCTCGAGAGGCCGCTTCCCTGTGAAGCTCTAGTGTAAGTAGCACGCACTATTAACCTTAAAACGCTCCCCGAAACACAAGAAATCGGGGAAGCTGAACTATCTCCACTGTGCCTGAAAGGTTTTCGGGAGGTAGGAAAAGGGGATTAAAAAAAACCTCTCCAAACTAAGACTGAAAAAGGCAATACCGGCAGAAAAGATCTGATGGGAAGGAAAGGAAAGAATGGTGAAATCTACCCAGGCTGTGGAAGACCAGGAGAGCCAGGCAGAGCCTTCGCTAGGACCCGGAAGACACCAAAGCACACCGCGCACGCTGCCGCCTCAGGACCGACCCCTCTCCTGTCTCTGCAATTTCTGGTGATGGGATAATTTTGCCCTGCCACTTCTCAAGATCGACAACTTCTTGAGCTCCTGCAGCCAGGATCAGACCACTAGCTTCTCTACACCCAGTCGAGCTCCACCCAGCGTGTCCCAACTATCCCCTGTGGGCAAACTTGGCTTCCAGAAGGCTCTGATTCCAGAGCCGGGGAGCAGGAAGCTCGAGAAAATCGGCTCTACTGCAGGCCAAGCGCTAAAGCCAAGCGGGGAAAGGACACGTTCCCTCTTGCACAACCCCTTGGCCCCTCCAAGCCACCACAACGCACTGCCTACATGAGAATGGCCAATCTGTCACCAGCCCCAGGGCACATCAGGTTTCCAGCTTTGTACAAACACTCAGCATCTGCCCCTCACCATCCTGTCCCACGCCAGCACGCGCCGGGTACAGAGCTGGAGCCCGGCGAGGCTGACTCCCGCGCCGGCCGCACTCGGTCCCACTACGCAGCACCGGGGATTAAAGGCCCGACCCCGCGCAGCCCGACGGCTTCCGGGACAGGGGCCCTGGGCCTTGGGAGCCCAGCGGAGGCCCCACCCGGCCCAGAAGGCCTAGGGCAGGTCGGGAGAGGCGGCCCCAGCGGTCCACCTGTGGCCCCAGACCCAGCGCCCGGAGCCCGACCTCAGGACCCCACGCTGTAGCTCCGCCCCCTAGCGCCGCCATTTTGTGGCGTCTTCGGAACAGGAAGCCGGGAGTGCAAACCCCGGGGTCGCCGGGGGCCGGAAGGGCCCTGCCGAAGGTGAGGGACAGAAACGGCCCGCACAGCCCAAGGAGCCCCCCCATGAAGCCCACCGCGGCGTCTGCCCCAACCCCGAGTCCCGCCCGCCTCTTCGGGCCCTGACGGCCAATCCGCACGCAGCGCCCCGGGAGCGACGGCGCCAAAGCCCAATGAGCGGCGCGCGCGCGCGCGCCCTGGCCGCCTCTCTGCAGGGCCCGGCTGCGGCAACCACACTCGGGACGAAGGCCCGGCCCGCGGCAGTCTGCGCAGCGGCTGCGTGGCTCGCACTCAGCCTTCGCTCCCTACTCTGCACCCAGCAGCCTACACAAACCTCCGTAGCCCTGGTCCATGTCTTCAACGCGGCCCACCAGCAGCCCCTTTTACTAGGCGACCACAGCACGCATGCGTTCAATGCACCTCCGCCGTCGACTACTGGAAGACTAGGCGCACACGTCACTACTTCCGCGCGCTCCCATTGGCTGGCCTTCACGAGGGTCCGCCCTCGCCGTCCCAGCTAGCCTTTCGGGCTGCGAAGCTCCACCTCCGCAGCCTGTCGGGAGTTGTGGTCCCGCAGCGGTGCCCGAGGGCCCGGCCCGCGCGCATGCGCGCCCCGCCTCTCGGCCCGCGCCCCGCCCGGCCCGCGCTGCACCGTAACAGAGAAACCGGGAGGTGGGATGGGAAAACTTTATTAGGTTTGGCTTCCAGCTTCGGCCACGCGGGCCCCGCCCGCCCCGAGCTCGGGTCACGGGACGCCCCCGCCGCCCTCCTCGTCGTCCTCCACGTCGAGGCCCGGGATGCCGCGGATCTGGCGTTGCAGCGCCCCTCCCAGCAAGGGCACGGCGCCCTCCTCCTCCTCCTCTGGGGGCGGCGGCGGTGGCGGCGACACGGCCCCGGGGGCTGGCTCTGGGGGCACGGGAGGCTGCGCCGGCGCGCCCTCTGCACCCTCCGAGACCCCTGCCGCTTCGCCCTGTGCCCCCTCGTCCAGGGCACCGCCCTCAGCCTCCTCCTGTTCCTTCTCCTCCTCAGGGCTGTCGGTGAAAGGGTTCTCGCCCTGTGGGGAGGGGCGCGGACACTGAAGGGAGGGAGCACAGGCAGGGACTGAGGTGGGGACAAGCCCAGGCCAGGACCAGCGCCTCACCTTCAGGTAGCGCTCCAGCTTCTTGCTGATGAGCTTGTTGTTGAGAATACTGCGGGCCACCATGAGCGAGGACTTCTTGGACTGCTCCATCATGAGCTGCGGGCAGGGCAGAAGGGGCTGGAGAGGCTGCTCTGAGTGCCCTACAAGTTCCCGTCCTGACCCTGCCAGTTTAGAGGGACGCCCCCCTGCCTCTCCACCCACGCTTCCACCCGGACCGCAGCCCCACCAACGGAGGGCCACTCTACAAGCATGGAACCACAACCTATCTGATCTTTGTTCAAATTCCTTCTCCTTCCACACTTACTGTAGGTAATTAAAAATACAGATCTATAGATCTCTATATATCTTTACGGCTGTATTACAGAAATCTGATTTGCTTACAAAAAAGCTATAAACAGTGAACAAATTAAACTAAGAGCCAAAGGTGCACCCCATAACAAGGTGCCAACTAGGCTAATAGGCAAGGAGCACTTTGGGACCAACGAGGAGGGTATAAAAGCAGGAACAGATATTTAATCAAATATGTCTTTTTAACCCACAGAATTCCAAGAATGAAGAATTATTCCCAGTCATGCAAGGTTGAAGAGACACTTCTCTGCTGATGGGAGGATCAACTGTTTCCATATTTTTTGGAAAGCAGTTTGACAGAATGTATGAAAAGTAAAAATCTGTTTCATTAATCCCTTCCCAGAACCTATCCTCAATTTAAGAATTGGAAACATACGTGCACACTGATTGTAGTGGTGAAAAATGGGAAAACACCTAAACGTTCCTCAGTGCAGAAAAGGTTAAATAAATTGTACATTCAAAAGAACGTCATGTAGCCCTTCAAATCGGCCTCATCTCTCCAATGGCATAAGAAAGGTGTATAATATAGTACTGTCTGCAAAGCATGCCAGAGCCGTTTTGTCTGGAGGGATTTCCGTCAGTATGCGGGGCCATTTCCTCATGGTGGGAGTACAGGCAAATCTCACTTTGATCATTATAAAAACCATAAGCTAAAAGGAGGATATTTTTTGGCGGGGTGGGAGAGCCCACTGAGTCCCGCCCACTCCATTTACATGTTTCAGAAAGCCTTCTCACTTGCTGCTTCTACTCTCTCCATCTTCATTTTTTTTTTTCCTTAGCACGTTTTCTCTACTACTGGAGGAAAATATTAACAGACATCATACATGCTCATAACAAACTAAAGATACATAATTAGGATACTACTATAGACCGTTCCTCAGTGACTCTTTCTCACTTGCCAACACTTTATCCTCCTGGCTCTGGATGCCCAGATGACCACACCATAAATTCTCCCAACTGAGGCACATTTATATTGCTTTCACATTTTCTCCACAGTAACCCAGCAACACCAGAATAAACCTGTACACTTCCATGCTGGTGCTTTTACTTCTAACCAGGTTTGGTTTCAAAGTGATAGTGCCCAATTAACTGCAAAACATTTCCAAGTCATGCTGCTTCCACCTGTGTTAAAAGTGACCTGGTCCTCCTGCCTGCCCATCAGCACTGGATGTTGTCACTGTGGGGTATTTTTGCTGTGGATGAAAGACAGAAGAATCTGTGCTGCTGCTTCCCACGGCATTTCCCTGTCCACCGGCAACTGAGTGCTCTGGTAAGCACACTGGACCATCCGCCCAGAATCTGTAGTTTTCTAACTATTTTCTCATCTTGGTTTTATTTTTCACATTTAAATTTTCTTTTTTTTTTTTTTAGACAGTCTCGCTCTGTCACCCAAGCTGGAGTGCAGGGGCTCTCAGCTTACTGCAACCTCCGCCTTCTGGGTTTAGGCAATTCACATGCCTCAGCCTCCTGAGTAGCTGGGACTACAGGCACCCACCACCACACCCAGCTAATTTTTTGTATTTTTAGTAGATACAGTGTTTTCCTATGTTGCCCAGGCTGGTCTTGAGCTCCTGAGCTCAGGACCTCTGCCCATCTCAGCTTCCCAAAGTGTTAGGATTACAGGCATGAGCCACCACGCCTGGCCAAATTTTCTAGAATTTGATACAGATTGAGTATCCCTTATCCAAAGTGCTTATGACTAGAAGTCTTTCAGATTTTGGAATATTTGCATTATACTTACCAGGTGAGCATCCCTACTCCAAAAAACCCAAAATCTGAAATGCTTCAATGAGCATTTACTTTGTCATGTCTGTGCTGAAAAAGTCAGATTTTACTGGGCACAGTGGCTTGTGCCTGTAGTCTCAGCTACTCTCATGAGGCTGATGCAGGAGGATCGCTTGAGTTCAGGAGTTCAAGGCTATAGTGTTCAATAATTTCACTTGTGACCAGCCACTGCACTCCATCCTGCACAACATGGCAAGACTCAATCTCTTAAAAAAAAAAAAAAAGTTTTGGATTTCAGAGTGTTTCAGATTTTCAGATGAAGGATGAACTCAATCTATATGTGTTATGAGGTAGAGGGTCCAAAATTTTCTTTTCCAGAAATGTACAAAACAAACCATTATTTCCCTACCAAATTGGAATATAGTTCTATAATCCCTTATCTATAAACTGGAAATCCAAAAGGCTCTAGAAAACAAGTTTTCCCCCAAAATTCCTTTGGTGGCTAAATATGAACTGACATTACATTTTTATTTATTCCATTTATATATATGTCATGTGAAGAATTATTCATGACTCATCTACAAGGCACTTTCCCCAGATCCTTTTGGAGAGGTTAGTGCTAATACCATATTGTCTTTATTTTTATTTTAGAGATAAGGGTCTCACTCTGTTGCCCAGCCTGCACTGCCATTGTGTGATCACAGCTAACTGCAGCCTCAAACTCCTGGGCTCAAGTGATCTTCCCACTCTAGCCTCTTGAGTAGCTGGGACTATAGGTACTCACCACCATGCTTGGCTAATTTTTTTATTTTTTGTAGAGACGAGGTCTCACTATGGTCAGGAGCTCCAGGGCTCAAGCAATTCTCCCACTTCAGCCTCCCAAAGTGCTGGGATTGCAGGTGTGAGCCACTGTGTCCAGCCTTGCATATTGGCTTTCTGAAGCCCAAAAATTAATTCTGAGGCATCTGGCCCTAAGGTTTCAGATAAGATATCTGTACTAACTTCAACAAATTACTAAGTCTGAAACATACTGGGATCTTTTGCTAGACTCTCTATTATGGTTCCACTGTTTATCACTGTGTTAGTATCACTTTTTTGGTTTTTTAATTGCAGAAGCTTTGTAGTTTTAATATTTTTGAAATCAATCTCTCAACTATTGTTAGACTGAATTCTACAATGTAAAACTTTAAAATAATTTCATTTCATTCAGTCCTACTCCCCAACTGAGATTTTTGACTAGAATTGTGCTGTCTATATTAATTTGGAGAGAACTGGTTTTCGTTTTGTTTCACTATAAAATCGCCCATTTAAGAACACAGAACATTCCTCTATTCATTATGGTCTTATTTCATATCCTTGGAGTATTTGTAGTTCTTAAAGATCTCAAGCCTTTCTTCTTTTTTTTTCTTTGAGACAGAGATTTGCTCTTGTTGCCCAGGCTGGAGTGCAATGGTGTGATCTTGGCTCACTGCAACCTCCACCTCCCCGGTTCAAGTGATTCTCCTGCCTCAGCCTCCTGAGTAGCTGGGATTATAGGCGCCCACCACCACGCCCAGCTAATTTTTTGTATTTTTAGTAGAGACAGGGTTTTACTACGTTGGCCAGGCTGGTCTCAAACTCCTGACCTCAGGCAATCCACCCATCTCAGCTTCCCAAAGTGCTGGAATTACAGGCGTGAGCCACCGTGCCTGGCCCTCAAGTCTTTCTTCTTAAATCTCTATTCTTAGCTATTTCATACATTGTGTGGTTATTTTAAGTAGTTGTTTTTTTTTTCCATTTAAATTTCTAACTGGTTAGTACTAGAATAGAGAAACACTACTACTTTTTGTATGCTATTTTGAATCCCATCCCCTTACCAAATTCTATAAATTCTAAGAACATTTTGGTGGGATCATTCAGCTTTTCTAAGAGCATAATCTCACTATTTGCACATGAAGAAAAAAAGAGTTTGCATTATACCAATAATGTTGCTAGATTTCTTTTTCTTTTTGACACAGAGTCTCGCTCTGTCACCCAGGCTGGAGTGCAGTGGTGCAATCTCGGCTCACTGCAAGCTCTCCCTCCCGGGTTCACGCCATTCTCCTGCCTCAGCCTCCCGAGTAGCTGGGACTACAGGTGCCCACCACTACGCCTGGCTAATTTTTTGTATTTTTAGTAGAGACGGGGTTTCAGTGTGTTAGCCAGGATGGTCTCAATCTCCTGACCTCATGATCTGCCCGCCTCGGCCTCCCAAAGTGCTGGGATTACAGGCGTGAGCCACCGCGCACAGTAAGTGTTGCTAGATTTCTTATGGAACCATCTCTCCAAACAAACCTTACTTATAATGTGTCTTACATAGGGATCACTACTAGATTGATAATTACTAATATTTTATTTAGCACTTTATTTATTTTTTTGAGTCAGAGTCTTGCTCTGTTGCCCCGGCTGGAATGCAGTGGCATGCACAGCTCATTGCAGCCTCAACCTCCTGGGCTCAGGCAATCCTCCCATCTCAGCCTTCCAAGTAGCTGGGACCACATGCCCCAGTACCTGGCTAATTTTTTTATTTTTACTTTTATAGACCCAGGATCTCACTATATTGCCCAGGCTGGTCTTGAACTCCTGGGCTCAAATGATCCTCCACCTCAGTCTCCCAAAGTGCTGGGATTACAGGTGTAAGTCACTATATCCAGCCTACTTTCCTATCTTTAACAATAGTAAACTAATCTACATTTTGGTATCATCTTTATCAGTATTTTGGAATTAAGGTTTAAGAAGCTTCCTAAATATTAATTTGAGAGGACAGACTTCTAGCATAGCAGTCTGAGGAGTTCCCTGGAACTACTACCTAGTGAAACTAATGAAAAGTATTAAAAAACAACGATTTAAAGTCTCTGAAAATGTTCCTAAGGACATACAGCAAATGAGAAAGATTTAACGAGGAAAAGCTACTAACACTCAGTAAGAAGAATGAAGAGTTGTGATGTCTGAAACACGACCTATTGCAATCCTGCCTCCCCCAGTTTAATGTGATGGAAACTCCAGACAGTGCAGCCAGGAAGACAGGCCTCCCTGCATCTGCCCGGCTCATCTCAGTTGAGGGGTCTGACATCTTCCCAGGAGGAGCAGAATGTCAGCATAGGTTTTTGTGTTTTTTTTGTTTTGTTTTTGAGATGGAGTTGCACTCTTGGTTGCCCAAGCTGCAGTGCAATGGAGTGATCTCGGCTCACTGCAACCTCTACTTTCCAGGTTCAAGCAATTCTCCTGCCTCAGCCTTCCGAGTAGCTGGGATTACAAGTGCCTGCCACCAAGCCCAGCTAATTTGTGTATTTTTAGTAGAGATAGGGTTTCACAGTGTTGTCCAGGCTGGTCTTGAACTCCTGACCTCAGGTGATCTGCCCACCTTGGCCTCCCAAAGTGCTGGGATTACAGGCGTGAGCCACTATACCCAGCCGGATGTCAGTATCTCTCGTCTCGCCCTCAGCTACCTATTGCTGAGATGAAGTTCTGGACAAGTATAGCTGAGAGGGAACGGTTCCTATCTTCTACCCAGCCACACACACGAATGGAGGCTTGACCCTGGGCATGGCACACTAAGAATATGAGGGCTCACATACCCATGGTTTGTTCATAAAGCGGAGGTTCTATGCCAGGAAAGGCAAACCAAGACCAGAGGCCTACAGCCCACTGTACCTCCTCCCATGTCTCTCCTAAAGTGGCAGAGTCACTCAGAGAGAGGCACTCCCTTGTCTCCATCCACAGAACTTCAGCTCAGAGATTCTGCCCAGAGTAAGAACAGGGCCCTACATCAGCAAACTCCCAATCTCAAAGGAACTGACTTCATTGGCAAGAGTGTTGGAAAGTGCAAGACTAGGGACTCTCTCAAAAACAAAGGAAACTAGGGAGAAAAAAAGTTAAAAGGACTTTTTTTTTCTTTCTGAGTATTTATTGGGGTTAAACACTGATAGCTTTGTTCTCCCCCCGCCCCAACTACACAGCCATAAAAAAGAAAGACTGCTAGATTTGATAGTGATATTAGCTAACCGATAGGCCAACTAGGTTACCAGAGAGGACCAGGACTAGTAAAATAGCTAAGAACAGACTCCCTGGGTTCAGAATAAATCTCAAAACAACAACCTCAAAAACCATCCCTGTTGGGCCTGGCGTAGTGGCTCACGCCAGTAATCCTAGCACTTTGGGAGGCTGAGGTGGGTGGCTCACAAGGTCAAGAGTTCGAGACCAGCCTGATCAACATGGTGAAACCCCGTCTCTACTAAGAATACAAAAATTAGCCGGGCGTGGTAGCACATGCCTATAATCCCAGCTGTTTGGGAGGCTAAGGCAGGAGAATTGCTTGAACCTGAGAGGCGGAGGTTGCAGTAAGCCAAGATCACACTACTGCACTCCAGCCTGG